ACTTATTTAACTATATAGCATATTCAATCGTTACAATCTACATTATGCATATTATAGGTTTATTTAATCACTACAACAAAAATGGCCTTTAGAGGCATTTAAAGGTGTCAGTATAGATAATCTAATCTGACACTTTATCTATCTTCACACCCAGGACGAGTGTTATCCCTTCCAATGTGGGGATAGCCTCAAATCTTTAGTAGCATTCAAATGTTTCAGGAAAACCAAGCTGCCATATCATTCCTTCTGCCGACAAAATCCTTTTTTTGTGATAATCGAAAGTGTCTGTATAGCGTTAGGACATCAGTAGCGGATCAGTAGGATATCCAATTTATGAAGGCATCTTGAGTTGTCTTAATATATGGCTTTAAGGACACGTAGCCATGTGAATTTACAATATTTTGGACGACATGCCCATTTGTTATTAGTGTTTTTCGAAGCTAAGCTATGCTGACACTTTTAATTGCCAGGAGAATTTTCCCTGGTTTTTTTTAAATGGAAGCAACTTGCAATTAGTCCTCCCTGCTGTACATTCCAACAACCAGAATCCCAAGGGACTTGTAAAATTATCCCAAAGAGCAGAATGCATAGAGCAATGTAAAAGAAGAAGTCGATACTCAAATATAATTCATTGAATTAAAAGTCGATAACAAGTACAAACATAGCAAGTACTAAAATCGCAAACAAGTACTAAAAGCAATTACTAAAATCCCAAACCAGTACCGAAAGATTCTTATTTACAATAACTTGAAAGACTTTCTTATGCACAAACTAAAAGACTCTCATCCCTAACAAGTTGAAAGAAGTAGAAGTAGCTTCCAAACTTTCCATTTTGTTGAGAGTCCTCAGGCATAACCATGAAGTCCCCATCATTCTTCAACTGGTTCCACCTATGCACAAAGACCAAGGGGATCATTAGACCATCATAGCTAGAACTAAAATTCCAGAAAATCCGCAATGTATTTAAGTGCATATCTCACCTTTATGAAGAACTAAAGGGATCATTAGACCATCACAGCATTGAATAAACACAACTTTATGAAGAATGTTGTAGCTGATTTGTACCTTTGCTTCTTCACTTTTCCAATAAGCCCAAAGTTTGATCCATTGCTCTTCCCATACCCTTATGTCCTTTTGAAACCGAGCTTCAGCATTTGGCAAGGCAGGATCAAAATACGTAGCCTTTAAATCTGCCTTCCAGCTTCTCCATTTTTTGCCAATAAATCTTAAGGTCCAAGCTTCCAGTCCCATAGGCAAAGCAAACCTGTCCTGAAACGTAGTTAGCAACAAGAAAATCAACATAACTTCACAGTAATTTTTGTACAAAGCATACATAATACAAAAGCTACCATTACCTTTATCACTTCTAACATGTCCATTTTAAGTTTCCTTGGCATCTTAAGCCAACTTTCAACATCTATTGGACAATACATACCATTCCTAGCCAAACTGCCCAAGAATTCAGAGAAAGAGGTTTTCTCACTTATTGGGATCCCATTGTCATCGAGTTTAATCTCAATCCGTGGAAGTTCCTTAGGCCGACCCCAAATTTCTTTCATAAATGTATCAATCCGTGGAAGTTCCTTAGGCCGACCCCAAATTTTTTTCATAAATGTAGGGTCTCGGGTTTTCTGATGTACTTCACTTGAATCATTTGTAGTTTCTTTTCCTGTATAAAATAAGAAAAAGGTGCAAGTTATGAACATAAAAAAATGCACTTCTGGAATTGGTTCAAAACAGTTAGTAATACCTGTATTGTCCGAGTTGCATGACATGAAGGTGGTGTCACTGGAATGTGGACCTCAAGAATCCTGATTTGGATTTTCTTCAGTTGGTTCATGCCTTGTTCCAAGTGGAGATTGTTGAATTGGAGAGTTATGGCACTGCTCATGCGACTGCGAACCTCCATCAGCTTGTTGAGTAACTTGGTCGCCTGATTCATGCATTATTCCCAATGTAGAATTCTGAATTGGAGATTGAGGTGCCCGAGCAGCTTCTCCTTACACTTGTTCAATTACATTTTCATGGCTTGTTCCAAGTGGAGGCTGCTGCCTTGTTTCATGACATGAGGGAGGTTGGTCAATTGGTTCATCTCTCAATCCATTTGCAGCGCGCTTACATTTTCGACCTCTACGGGCCATACCTGCATAATTTACCATTTATTTGATACCAGACCCACCACCATATATATATTTTTTGGGTGAAGAAAGGGACAAATGTAAATCTTTAAAATTTATTGAAGCAAACACTCTACCTATAGTTTCTTTAACTTACAAATGCTATTATAAAGAAGTACTACTTGAACAATAAACTGGCATGACAAGTAACAAATGGCATTCTTCAAGTATAAACCAGGGGAAGACTATGGAGCTGTCAACAGAACAGAGAAACAAATGGAGAATATACGATTCAATGCAGCAACTAATTGGAAATTAAATGAAAACTACATGCTCAAGTGACTGCAAGAATATACATGGGACATGGGCGGTTAGTCAATGGTATAATACTTTACCCAAGTGTTGTGCATAACGAGATGGCCATTAACAATTCATGAGGCACAATATAGGATTTTTACGAACTTTGTCATTCCTCAAAAACAATGAAACACTATCAATCAACTCAAATCAGAAACCATCATATTCAGTAGCACAGTGATTGTTTTCTAAAGGTAATAAGTATATAGGTCATTAATTCATGTTCAGCCAGGACCAGTTAATGAAGAACTCAATTGAAACTAGAACCCACCACCAACAGCAGATGGTTGAAATTGTACATTCAGTTCACAGTAGCATTCTCCATTCGACCAGGCTCACCTGCTTGCAAGAGGTGAATACCTCCCCAAGTCATCAGACTCTGGATTTTTCACACCACCACTACCCCCCAGAGCAAACACTCTACCTAGAAATGTGCTTCTCAGAAATGGAGAAGGTGCTTGACAGAAATGGGAATCGAACAACCTAAAAACTAAATCTGACAAGAAACGGAGAAGGTGTGCAAGAACATCTCTACCATGCAATGCAAAATTAGACACAAAATACTGAAATTACCTCAAACTAACTTCTCGGTTTCCTCAAGCTTCAAGATCTGAACTCCACCCAAGCTTTGAAACCCTAATGTCTGATTTCTTGCCACCAAGCCAATGCAACAGCCAAATTAGGGATTTTCCTGGTGCGAGCTCAACAAAGTTACCCAAATGGGTGCGAGTTCATGGACAGGTTTACCCAAATTGGTGGTGCGAGCTTGAAACAGAGAGAGAGGACAACGAGAGAGGGAGAAGATGTCTGAAATAGAGGCAGTACTAATGATGCCAAAGTAAATTAGTCAGGCCTCTTGAATTTTTCAATTTGCCGCGCTTCTAATGACAATTTTTGTGTGTTTGGGCAAAATTTTGTTAAAGCTATTTAACAACTAAAAATATAACAACTAAAAATTTGGTTAAAGCTATATACAATAAAATATAACAACTAAACATATAAAGGCTAAAAATTTTGTTAAAGTTATATACAATATAATATAACAACTAAAAATTTTGTTAAAGCTATATACAATATAATATAACAACTAAAAATATAAAAATAATTAAAAATTTTGAGAAGCTAACAAAAAACATTCTTTTAATCAAAATGTTTGCGGTACTCAATTTATTTTATGCTGCTAGCAATTATGTACGGCTTGTAGTCTAACAAGCCATTAGAAGGATCGAATTAGTTTATGGAACAAGAAAATTAACTTGTGAATACATGAACTTTCCGCTAATAAACGTTGGGATTAGAATTGATTGAACATATATATATATAGTCAATGTTTTCAATTCCAAAGCAATTGCCGTTCAACTTTGTATTAATTAGAAGCTGTTAAACACTTACAAGATCTTAAAATTGAAATTTTCACTGATAAACCTTAGGCTTACACTTACAACGCATTGATTGAACATATATATATTCAATGTTTTCAATTGCAAAGCAATTGGCGTTCAACTTTGTGTTAATTAGAAGTTGTTAAACAATTACAAAGCATTGATTGAACATATATATATATATATTCGAAGTTGGGCGGTTAATCCAAAATTTCGACTAAACTGATTAAACTCGATCAAAGATCAATTATGGAGTGGACATAATATGCAATAACAATCCAAGTTCGGAATGATCGGTTCGATCAGTTCGATCGTGTCTCAAGTCTTGTTTAATGGTTAATCCAAAAATTCAATTAAACCGAACAACCTTCAATCAAAGATTAGTTATGGAGGATACAGAGTATGCAATAACAACGTTTGATCAGTATGATCGGTTTGATTAAAGTTTAAAGTTTATAGATTAAAAAAATTATTTAAGAAATTTATAGATTAAAGTTTCAAAATATTTCTATTGATAAAAAATTAGACCTCGGGTTATTGGGAAAAAGAATTGGCCATAATATAATGATTCACTAGATTAATATTACAGCTTACAATTAATGGAATTGCTTATAAAATAATGACCAGTATTTATCCAGCCCATTGGGCTCTTAAAATTAGTAATGGGTCCAATAGAAAGTTGGGTTGTTTTATGTTTGGCCTGAATTGATTTGCAAAAATTGCATTATATCTTCCACTCAAAAGTTTAAACAACAAAACAAAGAAATGATTATTCTTATTATCAAAAATAATAACCAAGACTAGAATTGAGGCCATGTATGGTGTACGGGCAGATGCTTGAATAAACACCATGAGCTGCAATTCCGTACGTTGCCAATTGTTCTCCCCAAATCATAGCCTCAGTTGCCAATTGTTATCATTCCATTAAAAGAAAAATCATTCCAATACCATTTTTATGAATAAGACTGACGATTACTAACCAAGACTAGAAATCCAAAAACTGGACCATGGGAGTATCAAAAATTTAAGCCTTAAAGAGGCAAATTAATACACAAGTTTTAACTAATAGCACCAAGTCTTGACAACATCTGTCAGAACGCTTAACATGACACCGAGAGCACTAAACTCAAAGCTTTGTAAATGCCTTCTTTCCACCCCAGGAGGCGCCTGCTGGAATCACCTTCAGCACATTAAACCTCACAGTTTTTGACAGTGGCCTTCAAAACTAAGAATGTCGGTCATATTAGTAAACTACAAAAAAAAATGCAAAACCCATCGACAAAAGGAAATAAAGCCTAGGCCTAGCAATTGAAACAGAGAAGAATAGGGCCAGTAAGCTTTAAAGCTATAAAAGATTCTAAATCAGATTATATTGGAACAAATCAACTTCAATCCCAAGTCCATCCTCACGAACCCAACTAATTTCCTCATTTTCATTCTCAACAACAGGATTGCCAACATCACTTTGCAAATATGTCTCAACATCCATGCTTGTGCCCATGTTATATCCAGCTCTTGCAGTGGTAAAGATAACCACTTGCCAATCAACAAAATGCAAAATTTCTCAACAATCTGTAAAAACAGAATTTGCAAGCTCGTTGGAAGCTATTTTATTTACCTAATAACAGAATAAAGCTCTTCGTACCAACTCCTGCGCTCGCGTCTTCGCAAAATTCCTAAGTTCAATCTGAAATGTCAACGGTTAAACAAACACATGAGCGTGAAGACGAAAGGTGAAATTCAAGAATCTTACTAAATTTCCATCAAAGTATACATACATCTCTGGTGCGTAGTGATTAATTTTATAAGTCATCTCTTTAGAAAGGCATGCAACTGACGGCATAGGTAATTGGAAAAAACGAATGACAGAAAAGTCCCCTAGCTTCTAATCCTGCCCATGAAGATCCTTATGAACATGTCAAAAAAGTTCGACCCAAGTGCATCCATGTCTCTGTCTTATTAATCTAAAAGTCACCTTTTTTGGGCTCAAAATTTGCACTATAATAGACTGATCAAGTGCAGAAGACAATTAGTACAACCGTTATACTATATATTTCAAGCAACTCACGTACTGATTAGACATACAATTTAAAACAGAAAAAAGCTATAAAGATGCAAGTACTACATAGAATTTAACATAGAAAAAAGCAATAGTCATATAAGTGATAGCATTGGGTGAAATATGCACTTAGCCGGAGGACCACCTTTGTGACAAAAGCCAAAAGGCAGCAAAGGTCACCTCTATAACACTAATATCTTTTTTGTCACTTCTGTATCTATTGACTGATCATTACTGGCAAATTAGCAAATGTATAATGATCAAGATTTTGTACATGTTATTAACCTACCTTGGATTCATTGTGCTAATAATTCCAGATTAGTTCATAGTTTTCTGTTAAACTTCTTAAAATGCTAAAGGCACGAGTCAGATTTTGCTCTGAAATTACTCTTCGCATGAGCAAATGCCAAGTTATCTAATCATCTAACCAAAAACCTAAGCCAATAATCTTCTGAAATGAAAGTGCAGTGCAGTCATAGAGGTACCATCATTTTTTAATAGAATGCCTGGCCACCCTTAAAAAGATGAAAACTTCGAGGACCAGGGCTAGTGGAAGCAATGGGAGGGCATGCATTCAGCAGTTGATGAGGATATATTAATAGATTTTATACGACAATGATTACTTTCTGATAAACCAACAAATGCAGCGCACACCCTTTTTTTCTTCTTCAGAATCCACCAATGCACTCTCCACATATCCTCACCGGAAATACCAATCTCTAAATGGAATTGGTCGGTTTTGCTAAGATTAAAAAAATGAGAGGTGCATAGCTGCATATACCGACCCTGAAAAAAGGTAGCTTCCACTAACAGTTTGTTACAGTTGCAATGTAGTATAAATCTGATTTCATTCAACTGATGGATTCTGTAACATTCTTAGCTAACATTAAAGGAGATTCACAGAAAAAAAAACATGGGGGAATTGACATTTTATCGAACAGGATTTGGGCAACAGAGCTTCATTGTGTTTACCACTTCGATTTTGGAACAACATATGCGCGCCTGAGGTATCTTCCAGCTTTCCCAATGTACAGTTCCAATCTTCTAATTTTACTCCCTGCCTGCCCTTCCAGATGTCTTAGCCGAGGGATTTAAAGTTGAGGCCCGTAAAGATGAAGATGGTTATTTGCGGAGATAGCTTGGATTCCTACCAGCATTTTGGATTGGCCGAGATAGACTGTATGTGGAGAGGTGAGAGAGGTGAGAAGAAGAAAATTTTCACCAAGTCCTTTTGCCGGCAAAATGAAACTTCAGAGTACTTCACCAAGTGTTTTGGAGCCAAAATAAAACGATGTCGTTTTCTGTGTTTTTTCGATTTTTTTTTTTGGTTCATCTCACATTTTTCCGAGTGTCATGATAGGTAGCGTAAAGGCACATTATTATTTGTATATCATGATAAAATAAAAAAATTATAGTACATATTATTGAGTTTATTAATAAGTGTCATGATATGTTTACTATAATGACACAAACCAGCAAGTGTCCTTATAGGCATGTCAGGAAAGGTCATTTTTGTTGTAGTGAATGGCTAAGCTTAATCAAGATTTTCTCGAGTTATCACAATTATACTATAAATACTTTCTGTGTCTGACATGTGTTCATCTACTTCTATTAAGTCTTCATTAGCGGTTTCCACTGGGTGACTTTGTTTATTATACAAATATTTCCTTCTTGGACAATTTGTTGCTAAGTGATTTGGTTCTCCACATACATAACAATTTAGTTTATTTATGTTTCTAGATATGTATACATTTCTGAGGTACTATGATCAAATCCTTTTTGTATATAGTGTCTAACTACTTTATATTTCCAATGATCTATAGTGTTGTTCCATAATTGTGGATCGTATGCTGTTAAGTTTAATGTTAACCCTTCATCTAATAATTTTTTCTTGTCAAGTGCTTTTAATGAATATTTCTTTCCTTTACTTTTATATTTTACTATTGGTTCCCTGTATTCATTATATGTTGGTCTAGGAATGTTTCCTGGATTATATACTATAGGTTGTTGTTGCGGTAGGTTACTACTACTAGTTGTGTTTTCCATATATTCTATTGGGTTTAATTCTTCTATTGTGTCTTCTATGTTTTCTATTGTGTTTTCTTCTTTTATTCTAATATTTGCTTCTAAATCATAATAGAGTATTTCTGTTACAGTAATATGCCCTATACTTTCTAATTGCCTTTCTAAGTTCATTAATTCTGTATCATCTAATTTCTTTCCTTATTCTTTAGGATATAATATTTTATCTTCTATTAATCCTAATTCTATGCTATCTACATATTCTGTTATTAATATATTTTTTTCGTATGTCTCTTCTTCTTTTGATTCCATTCCTATTGTACTTTTTTCATAATCAAGGATTCTAATACTTGTTTTTCCCTTGCTATTTTTATATATTATACTATCTTTGGGTACTAAACAACTTTTTTTCTTTTATAAATTTACTAAGATTCCATTCCTCTCTTGCTAATTTTTTAGGACTTATTTCTAAGGGTTTTATTAATTTTATTCCTTTACCTGCCATAGCTTCTATGTTTGTTTTATATCTAATTTATATTTCGTCTTACTGCTATTTGTTAATCTTCCTATTACCCCTATGCTTATTGCTAAATTTCTTCCTGTAAATTCTTCATATCCTTTTGTTTGTATTCGTATCTCAATATTTTTTAAATCTTCTAAACTTATCATAAAATTTGGACTACAATAAAATATCCCTTTGTTTTGGTCCATATCTACTTCTATAGTTGCTATTAGTGCTTGTTCTGTATTTTTATGTCTTTTGTCTAATAAGCTAAAAGTACTTTTGTTTCTAGTCCTTTCCTTGCTGATCCTTTTATTTCTATTATAATTAATCCTAAATGCATGTATATATAATTTCTTTCTAATCCCCTAATGCTTTCACTGGTTACTAGTCTTAATGATACCGCTTCTGATGTGACACTAATTGGTTCTTCTCTTTTTGATCTAAATAATCCTGTTCTAGATTGTAATATACCTACATTATACAATTTTCTTGGATTTAATAGATTTATTTCATTATTTCAATATATTTCTAGATCTCTATTTATATCTATTTATTCTTCAAGGTGTATAGTATTATTGTTTCTTCTACTAATTAATCTGTCTAGAATATTAGTTCCTACTTTAGTATTTTCTGTCAAAGTAGTTCCTACTTCAGTATTTTCTACTTCGTCCCGAAAAAGAATGTCTTCTCATATTTTCCGAACTTATTAGAAGTTTTACTGGTTTTTCTTTCTATAGGTATTTTACTAAATTTTTCTGTAATTTTGTCTAATTCTGATTCAAAATTAAATTCTACTTTTTGCTTATTTCTTTTTAAATCGTTAATTCTTGTTTTTCAATATTCCAATTTCTCTAAAATTCTTATTAATAAGGCTATTTGTAAATTATTTTGTTTAGGATGCACCCTATCTGAATTAGAGGGTCCTACGTAATTAGTTAAATCTAAAGGTTCTTGATGATAATATTTTAATTCTTCAAGTACAACAAGATAGTTTTTGTTTGTGCTAAAATGAGGAGGTATTTTACTTATAAATTATCCTAATACTATTTTTTCTATTTTTCTAATAATTGCTTTATTTGAGTTATATTTCCAATATGTTTTAAATTTTTAATTCTGTTCCTTCATATAATCTTGATTTTTAACTATTTGACCTAATGATTCTTTTTTAGACGTTTCAAATAAAGATTCTAATATTCCAATATGATTATTTTTATAATTTTCTAAGGATTCCCTTAAAGATATTACTAAATTTATAAGACTATTATATTGTTTGTCTTCAAACTATGTAAATTATGTTTATAAATAGATTCAAAATAACAAACGTGTTTATGATGTTCTTTTAATATTATATTTCTGTTTTTATTTTTTATTTCTAGATTTAAATATTCTATATTTTAAATTCTATACTATGAGGATCTATTTTTAAGGTGGCTCAAGCCAACCAGATCGGTCAGCTCTGATATCAAATATTTATTTTAAAAAGCTCAAAATATTTACTTTAAATTTTAAAGCTCCTTTTGTAGCCTTAGTTCAAATATTTTCTGATTTACTAAATCTATTTTAGCTTGTCTAATATTTTTCAAATAAGACCAAGGATGATGATATTCTATCTTTTTTAAGTCAGCTTCTAGAATTTTTAAATATGATTCACACTGATTTATGATTTCAAATTTTTCTGTAATATGAAGGAAGTAAAAATATGTGCCTGGTGTGCGTAATTCTGAAAATGTATAAAAATATGTAGATGCTAACGAGTTCATGTAATTCATGAGTACTTGGTACTAAGGTAGGTCTAAGGAATATACCTTTCTTATTTCTTGATAATTTCTCTAGTTAGTGACCCCTCTTTCGTCTGGGTTGCCTCACCGATCTTCCTCCTGAATGGCCTTAATCTTTTATCACGGCCTTGCAGAGTACTACACGTCTGTTGGACTTTTTAACAGGCTACTAGGATGTTAACCAGATTATACCAAGGTTTAGGGTTGGCTGCAACTATTCCGACTATCAGTTCCCTTTCCTCTTTTTCCCTAAAAGATGCTGAGAGATTTTATTTACAAAATTGCAGAGTGAACCTTTGTTGCTCATGCCCTGCATGATTACATTTGGTTGCTATTTATAGAAAAGTTTCGGACATGAAATCCCGGACTTTATTTCCAAACTAAAATTTTTTCGGACTTCAACTAGTTTTGAGTCCGGAAAGTAGAGTTTGTACAGCTATCTATGCACTAAAACTTTTTCGGACTTCAACAAGTTTTGAGTTCGGAATGCAAAAGTTTGCTTTTCTGTTGTCCTGTTCTACTTTTATCCCTCCATTGCATTTTTTATATTTGCTTGTTCTTCTGGCCCACCATAATCATATTTTTCTTCATTTTCTGAATAAGACTGTTGTTGTCTTCTAATTTCTTCTTGGTACCAACCGAGTTCCTAAAGATGCTCTTTATACTCTTTATGATATTGAGAAAACAGTTCTGATTTCTTGGTTTCTACTTCAAATTCTACTTCTGGCATGAATGGCTTATTTTTTAAATATATTTTTTGGATCTTATTTTCACAAAAATAGAAAAAATATTTGGTGTCTCCATTTATGTTTGGAGTGCTTGAAAGCAAAAACCTCCATTCTTCTATGTTCAATCTGTTCCTCCAATGGAATATTCACCATTTGTATTATTTCCGGTCTCGTGATAGGGTATTTTAGTAAAAAATGATCAATGCTGCTTTCTACCCTTATCCTGTGTATTGCAGGAATTATATCATAGTCTCCCCATGCTGGTGGTATTGAGTATATTCTTGCTTTAACTCTTGGAGCACCATGTTCAAATTTTTTTAAGAATTGCTAATGCTAATTGTTTTCCGAAATTATTAGTTTGATCTGAATCATTGAATAGAACTAAAGAAACCATCCCATAGTCCATCAAAGTTTGTGGACTTAGTTCTAAAATTTCTCCATTACTAAGAAAAACTTGTTTGTTTATCCATCCTGCTAATTTAATTCTACAGGTTACGAAGAAATAATCTAATGTACAACTGCACACTAGATTTAGAAGTTTAGTTTTTGTACAATGGGGTGGACAAATTTTTATGAATTGATATGGTAAATAGGCTTGATTCTGAGACATCTGTCTCTGGTATTTTCTGATATATATTGGACTAAAAATTTTTGGATTGCTAGGAATCTTGAAAGAAAATTGTTTTGGGCTTTTCTATAATTAGGCTTGTACAAAGATTTGGCAAACTATATATAAATTTACTGGGATGGAAAAATATTGTAGGTATAAGAAATTCTAATGGTCTCTGGGACTGGGACTTTTCTGGAACGAAAACCACAAAAGGTGGTTTGGATTTTTCTATTGCCAGTTGGTTGGTAAGATTGGAAATAATCGTCTGATAAAAGGCTTGCTGGCTTTGCGATTCTTTGATCTTTTCTTTAAGAGAATTGATCTCTGTATTATAGTCTTTGCAGCGATTATTTAGTAAAGCAAAATTTCTACTCATGCAATCACAATGTCTACAAAATTCTCATCTATTTACGTTATCTTTTTCTGCTACATGACTATAACTACTACTGGAGATATCTATTCTTTTGGGGAGCTACTACTCTTTGGCTATCAATTCTACATGTA